GAATATATATACGAAAAAATTATTAAAGAATTTGAAGAAGAAGAAAGTAATTTATATTATTATAAAGAAAATTATGAATTATCATAGAGAATGACCCTTATTAAACAAATACTTACTAGAAGATATTAAAATAGATTTAGATAAAAAATCAAGAACTAAGGAAGCTCTAATAAGACATATAACAGATATATGGTTACAACCAGAACAGTCTATAAGAGAGAAAAAACTTATATATGAATTAAAAGGAAAAATGACTAATAATAATAAGAAAATACTATGAAAAAATAATAAAATATTTAAAAATGTAACTATTAAAGATTTAGATAATTATATAGAAAAAGAAAATATTAAATAAAAATAAAAAACAAAAAATTAATAGAAAATCTAAAGGAACAACAAGAGGAAAATGAGGATAAAATGTGTAAAACATATTACTATACAAAAGCTTTAAAAGAAATTAAAAAAGCATAATGGATTTAATAGAAATAAAATTTTAAAAACAAGTAATAGAAAATTTAAGACTGCCAGTAGGGTCTTATCAAATAAAAGGAGCTAATACAACTATATTTCAACCATTAAGCTCATGGGGAGAATCAGATGGATTTCTTAATATGCAATTAAATTGCATAAGTGTTTTTTTGTGGCAAACCTATAAAAATATAAATCCACAAGATAAAATAGTCATAGAAGAATTACAACAGTTAAATATACAGGATAAAAATGTTCAAGAAAAATTACTAGATATCCAAAATAAATTAACAATACAATTTAAAGAATTAAAAGACATGATAGAAAATGTTAAAAATGTAGATGAGGAAATGCTAAAAGAATTTCAAATAAAATTAGGAGAAATAATAAACCAAGATAAAATTGGAATGATATGGAAAAAATAGAAAAATTAAAAGAAAAAAATATAAGAAAATAAAAGAATTATATCAATAGAAGAAAGAATTAAAAAGAGATGATATGTATGACAAATTATTTAAAGTACAAAAAACTCAAAATATTAAACCAAAAGTTTAAAATGTCAATAAGTGAATACATTGAAGAACTAAAATTATTAATAAAAACATAATAAATGATGTTCAAGATATGAAAAATGAAATAAAAGAAGTAAGGAATGATATAAATATATTAAAACTTGAAGTCAGAGAATTAAAAGAAAATAATAAA